CAAGTGCCTCGTGGCAAGTCGAGATGACGCAGCACTGCTTCTGTGACCGGCTAAGCATGGACGGTACCACTAACATACTGGACCAGCGAGTGGTAAATTAACAAGTCTAACAATCATGAACAAAAGAAGAAAAGGATATAGCCTACGCGCCCTTGAGACCCGCCTCCGGCGGCGGGTCGTCAACCGAAGGACGGCGGAGGGGGGCTTCTAAGAATCTCAGGATGCATCAGGCCGCCAAAATAAAAAAGAAATGGGCCTGACCTCTCGATATGCACCTACAATTGTAGGTCACTGTCGAAGGACGAATACATCAACCATCTTCTTCAGGAGATTAATAAAACGTCTTGCGATGTCCTCGGTGTCTGCGAAACACCAAGAAAGTCAGAACTCAACGCAACCTGGAGGGATGGCAGCACCGTTTTTTTGTGCAAAGAAGAAGGACAGAGGAACATAGTGGAATCGGATTTATCGTGAACAAGAAGTGGTCTCTGCGAATCCTTTCCTGCCGCTTTAATTCATCGAGAGTCGGTGTATTACTTCTACGGTTGGATTCAAACAGGACCCTCAAAATCGTTCAAGTCTGTGCCCCCCACTACGGCCAGCGATGACGATGAGGTTTATGAATTCTATGCGGAGCTCGAATCAATTCTCACGATCAAGTTTGCCTATACGGTAGTGATGGGCGACTTCAACGCAAAACTTTGTCGAGGAAGGAAAGTCAGTGAGAAATACATTGGCAGATTTGGTATAGGAAAGCTAAACAACAGGGGTGATAGAATGGTAGCAGTGACAGAGGCCAACGAACTGTTCGTCGGTAACACCTGGTTCCGGAAGAAAGTGGGGCGGAAATGGACATGGATCACACCAAACGCATTTGCGAAAAATGAAATGGACTATATTCTGGTCGATATTCAGCGCATTCTGAAGGATGTCTCCATCCGTAGTGCAATCGTTCAACACAGGAAACGATTACCGCTTGTTGCGGGCAAGAATACACTTAACTCCGGCTGTAGAATGAAGGCCACTGTGTCGTATCAGCGCAAAAGGCCTATGGAGATCGACGAAGCAAAGATGGAGCGGCAAGTGGGAACTACCAACTGGAATATGAGGGTGAGCATTGAACACGATTACCAAAATTTCAGAGAAGCTTCGTCGGTGCTCAGAAAGAGCTGAACATGCTCAGCCTCGGCGAATGGATTCGAGGGTCTCAGAGGCGGCAAAAGAACTGCTAGAGAAAAGAAGAACCTTGAAGCGGGATAAAATCAGGAGTGTAGAGACAATTTTCTCTGCAGGTTAATTCGTAAGAAGCTGAGGGAGGACACCTCTAAGACTACAATCGTCGAAGGCAAATAACGGCAGTTCAAAGAAAACAAAGTCTGAATAAATGCAGAAGGAAAATGCGTTATACTGAAAATAAAGGATGGGAATCGAATCACGGACTGAAAAGATATGGAAGAACTACGTAGAAAATTTTAAACGAAACTTTTCGAATCACATGTAGACGTTGCAACACCCGAAATTCGAACCACCATGAAAACTTCTCCCGGTGCTGATCAGTGAATTAAGAAACGAAATCTTCCAGAATAAAACTGGAAAAGCTCTGGGATGCGACGGAATTAACATTGAGCTCATGAAAGCCGGTGGATGCGCATTCTGTAAGGCACTCGCCGCTAGATTCAGTTGCAACCTGGCTGAGAAGACCACCCCTAGCAACTGGAAGGAATCGAGGACTGTTCTGCTCCATAAAAAGAGCGATAGAGAAGGCCTGAAGAATTATCGCTCGATATGCCTGCTCTCCCACGTATACAAGCTGTTCATGAGAATCATTACTAACCGCCTCACAGGGCCACTCGATGAGCAGTAGTGAGAGAACAAGCAAACTTTGAAGCAAATATATCACTATGGACAACCTTTTCACTCTAAATCAACTGCTAATGCGCGCTAGGTAGTAAAATTACCCTTAGGTCTACTTTTCATCGATTACGAGATGGCATTCGAGGCACGGAACTCAACGCTGTCTTGAAAGCTCTTGTAGAAGACAGAATCGATGAGAACAACGTCGAAATCATCAAAGAAGCAAATACAGGATGATCGACTGAAACCCAATTTGTACATTGATCGAGAAGAGCGTGGGATATGGTAATCCATCATCACCAAGCTCTTCAATGCCTGCCTGGAGATGATGTTCCGTAAATTGAACTGGAAGGGCGGTCTGAACATCAACGGCAAACAGCTGAATCATCCAAGCTTCGCGGACGATATGGTGGTCATCGCGAATAACGCTTGAGAAATGAAGGAGATGCTGCAAGAGCTCAACGAACGAAGTAAAGAAGTGGGTCTTAAAATCAATGCAACAAAAACGAGGGTGATGCAGTGTCGGCATGCCCAAGGTCAATGTACAGGTAGACGGAGTGGACTTAGAAGAAGTCCATAGCTCTGTTTACTTGGGCCAAGAATTGAATATACGCCATGATCTACAACCGATGATTATACATCGAAAGGATGCCAGATGGCGGAAATTTTATAGCATCATCGATGTCCTGAAAAAATCAGACCAGAAACACTGCTCGCCTCTTCAACAGCGTAGTTTTGACGGCATTGACGTACGGATCCGAAACGTGGGTACCGACGAAAGCAAGAGAAAATATACTGGCTGTAACGGAGAGAGCAACGGAGCGAAGGATTCTTAGAATATCTCTTCGTGACCATATCCATAACAAACTCTCCGCAAAATGAGTGGCGTGCAAGACTTCGTGCATCCATGAGAGAGAGAGAGAGAGAGAGCAAGATCCGTTGGGCAGGGCTACTTCGCGCGTCTTCATGATGACCGATGGACCTCGCGTATTCCCGAATGGTACCCGAGGGAAAGAAGACGACTACTCGGCGTCCTTCGAAGAGATAGCGAACGTACGTAGAAGAAATAGCGGAAAAGAACTGGATACAAACTGCCAAGGACAAAATGACCTGGCATGATTGTGCTCGGCGTGTGGGAACTTCAAAGAATCCATACTGAAGCCCGAGCAATCTTGGATTCTTTATCTGGTAGATAAATGAGTACCACTAAATGGAAAGAAGGCAAAAGGCTACACGCTTATTGTAGTTGTAGTTATTGCCTTAAGTAGTAAACAAAACACTCCTAACTGGCTGCACAGAATGTGCGATGAACGCCGTGGTACAAGCTCCTAGAAAAAAGGATGCCTCAAGTAGTTCTCATCAATTATGTATAAAGGAGAGTGGCATCTCAATAGTTGCAAACGTTTATTTTTCTTTCTTTTAGGAGAAGTTACTACAGCCAAGAACTCAAATAGAAAGATTTTTATCCATCGTCAGCAGGAATTCTCAAGAAGAGCTTTCTTGAAATATTTTCATTCGAATATAATGCTGATTTGGATAATGCTGAACTAATGATATTAGGAAATGAATGGAAAATTACATTTTCGAGCCACTTCAATACTCAAGCTAAAGCCAGTGTAACGTATTAACTTACTGAGCTTAACTTATCGAAACAATTCAAATAACGAACCGAAGCGCATGACAATGTTAGACACCGCTCACGTGTAAATTTCATAATTTAACTGAAAGAAGTTAAAATATTAACTGGCTTCAGAAAGAAACGTAAAAAGGTTCAAAAATCCATTGGAAGCGTTATCTCCATTACAGTACAACAAAACATTGCAAATGATGGTTGAACAACCAACTCTTGTAGAAGTGTTGAAGGAACTTCAATGGCGATAAAATTTGGGCAGTTAACATGATTCAGGCGTGAGAAGCATATTCGCTGAACATGACAGGTGTGGTTGCTCCAAATCCAATTTTAAAATGCCATCAAAGCATGTTTTTCTCAGACGCATCGTCTATGCAGTTTGTGCGCATATATCGCAATTACTATTCATTTCTCAGTAAAGAGGCGCTTAAATGGGCCATTACATTACAAAATTAACCTGACACTTATTCATAAGTTTTCACATCTGACCGAAGTGCTTCTTCACAAATAAAGAAAAGTTAGAATCTATTCGGTTACGTTCATAGTGATCAAATGCTTCGTTTTTCACCGAATTCAAGTATTGTTACCCCTCTGGCTCAACGCGGAACGAGTTACGTACCATTCTACGTGAAAAGCACCAACTGATTCTTCCTCAATCGCATTGTACGCCCATCCACGCAGTTTGCTGAGACGTTCTGCTCATTAATTCAGGTATGAGAATTTTTATGCCTACGATTCCATTGCAGAGAATCCCAATCACTTTTCTACAATTAATTGGTCACAAATCAGAACAGATTCATTTATCGGGGTCCAGTCTGAGAAGATTTGCAACAACAGATTTACAGACAAGATAACGTTGGCAACACTGACCTGCACGGACTTTAGGGACCGCTGAATTAGTGATTGGCACTTCCCCACGGGCAAACTTAGTCCCGCTGGTTGCGAGAAGTCTTAGAACGAATCCATGGCGTGCGAAGCAGCATCCGGTGATACCATTGCGTACCGGGTTACCCACTTCTCGTTCAAAACGATAAGCTGAGTGACTGGTAGGATGCGACGCTCGTTGCCTGGATCGAGTGCAAACCACCTGGTTTGTACTCGATGTCTCATCTTTCCATTTTAAAATGATCAGCGGCGAACAGAGTCCCTTGTTGCGCGTATAAAGTGACTACAAGCTCATTAAGTGGTTTCACAGGTCGGTTCATAAAACTTAGATTTATTGTATCCAACAAGGTCAAATTCTGTTCGATTTTATTTAGAACGTCAGACTCATTCGAGAAATTACTAAAACTTTCAATGGATACAGCAATATTAAATTCCTTCTACATTACTGTCTGCCGGCAAAAGATTGCTGCAGCTAAAACTCAACGACGAAATTCAAATAGTCTGCAACAGGATAGGGCATTATGATAATCGAATAGCAATAGCATGCAACGAATGAAGACTTTCTTTCTAAAGTTCAGACATCCGGCGGAAAGCAGTTTGAGAGTATTTTGGAGATATTCTATAAACTGACTGTTGAGAAGCAATTTACGTTTGTATTTAAAATATTCGTGTGGATATCAAAACTCGCAAGTCAAGAATACCGAATGGAATATGAGAAAGACGAAATCGGGGCATAGTTGTAACAAGAATATTTTCTTTCAAAGACGCAATGGCTGATAACCTGTAACAGTATACTCGTTTGGAAGTACCGTAAATTTCATGAATTTCTTGAAATTGCTATAACAGATGGTTCAGACGATAATAACGCCACAAATCAAAAGCAATCAGTTGAGGTAGGATTACACTTAGTAAAATTATCAACAACAACAGCATTCAGACTTTAATTATTAACGGGATGTTCATCATCAATTGCTAAATTTATGACAGTACGCAGATGAAGTGAAAAATATGAACATGTTAGCCAAAATTTTAATCTGTTTTGAAATAATTACATTTTTTATGTACTTTGGTAAAGGCATTACATGATGAAACGTTCGAAAGCGAGAAAATGTTTTGCAAATGATGTTAAATTTCAGGGTTATTTGGAATTGAGTACGAACAACGTGACATCACGGTGAAAAGTTGCACTGAAATGCAGTCAAAGTATAAAACTAATACAATTTATTGATATTTGATTAAGCTGACGTGACAAAGCAAATGACCTATTTGAAGTTATGTATACCGAAAAGCGAAGCTCAATTCAAAGAAAGAGTGATTCGTCCCCACGAAGGACTCGTCTCATAATCAGTGAAAAATGGTTAAAAGTCAAGGAAACAACGACGGTCATAATGACAATAAATTATCAAGTTTCGATTTGCATTTCAAAAGATTTTTCTCACAAGGCTTTGTGGCTCCAAGTCTGCCAACCGCTGCAGATAAAAAAGAAAACCTCTTAAAATTTACCAACCTCCTACCTTGAAGATGGCTCGTGAGATACGTTGATATTGATCAGTCATCCGATGAATCATATTTTTTTCGGTGGGTGATATGGTAAACCATGTTTTATGCTTTTTTCAGTATGCCACCAGCGGTATTTTTCAGTATTCTCTATCATTCAACATTGTTCTCGACTTTCTTCTGCGAAACAGTGCTTACTCTATCAAAGACTAACGTGTCATAGAAGACGAAAGGTGCAATTCAAGATGTTCGGTTAGATATCATGCAGAAATTGAGTACATTTATGATATTTTCCGCAGGAGTAGTATGGGGAAAGAATTCTGTCATCTGACGGCTTCCATATACAACCAAAGCTAAGGAAACATAAAGCGCGGTAGTCAGTCGTTAAGAAGAACCCACATGGTACAGCTCATCTACAAGTGGAGCAGGGAGGTGGAGCGCTTAACGAACTTAACCAATTTAAGCGTCACGGCTCCAATGATAGCACCTCCATCCAAAGCTAAATAGGATAGTTGTCCTAACCTGGAGTGTCATTCACCTTGAGTCCTCGAGTGAAAGAAGCGCATTTCGTCTATGCGGCAGAGAAATAAGGAGTCAAGCAATGAAATCGTAAATCTGCCGTTGCCGTTAAAAAACGGATGAGAAAGGGGAAAGATCGGAGATCGCGAAAAAGTCTTCCGTAAAACCTAGCGAACTGCCACTCACGGTACTGCCGCAATCGAACATTTTAAAATCAGTCGTCTCCCTCTTTATCCAAGCCAGCGCAGGTTGTTGGGGAACTGAGGCAGTCTGCAAAAAGTCGGCGATCGGAACCAACTTCTAGCTTTTGCAAAGTGGCGTAGGAGTATGGCGACGGATAACGAATCAGATAAGGCACCACGGGAATGATACCGACAGTTGGAGCTCACAGTCAAAAATGGCAAGTTCTCACTCAGACGGAAAAAGCAGAAACTAGTTGATGCTGGACATAGCTGAACTATCGCTAACAAGGCTAGGGCACTGGAAATGTGAATTACTGATGATGGAAGATATGTTACTGAGGTGCCATCATCAAACACGCGCTGAGGCCAGAGCTGCTGTTCTGGTAAAACCCAACTAGCCTGACAGAATCATTTAATGCAACTCTGTCAGCGGACGGACCTCATCTGTTATAATCATCCGGTTGCAGTTACAACAGGCTAAACGTTTGACGTTGTTACAGGTCTGTGCGCCCAATTTGAAGGGAGAATATGACACTTCTTTGAGGATGCGAAATATACTCTGTACGAAGTGCCGACTACGGGGACCTTCATTCTTATGGGCGACTTTAATGCACATGTCAGAGCATACACTGAAAAGTGGTAAAGCGTTATTGGAATGAACGGTCTTAGCAACCTCATCAATAATGCCATGAAGTTGTTGCGAGTTCGGGCAAACAACGGAAATCTGTTATGAGCACTATATTTGAACACCAAGACGAGCATAAGTATAACACATATAAAAGCATATGTACAAAGTCGATGACTGATTTGATAATGGTATCGTCTGATTTACGACGCTCTGTAATGGATGCTTGTGTTAAGATAGGCACAGAGCTGTCAACCGAGCACCACGTTGTTGGTGACAAGCTACGCTGTGAGAAACGGTGTACCATACGAAGGTCTGGTGGAAGAAGCAACTACAGCATGAAGTGGGACATTATGCTCTGCACATGTGAGTGCAAGACTTGCAAAAAAAACGACGAACGAAAGTTAGAACAGATCGCAATCATGACTGCTTACATGGAAAGCAAAAGAAAGCTCTACATGAGCGGCTTACAGACGGATGTCGTTGAATGGGCTGGTTTGAAACAAAATGGCTCCTGCTAGAGGCCAAAACGAACTCTTTGGTGGATTTGAGAGGTTGAACTGGCTATCAACGAGAAGGTTGCATGAAAGACATGGATTGCAAGCCTTCAACTCGAATGCAGTATGAGGAAGCGTGCAAAGCGGCAGGGAACCAGTGGTCAAAGCAAAATGTAGGATTCCCAGGAAACGATCGGTGAGGTTTTGGAGTCGGATTTGCAGGCGGCTATAGTAAACTATCCGCTGTCTCCCAAATGGAAAGACTGACCGTCTCAGAGTCCTAAGAGAAAAGTCAGGACGGCCGTTTAGTAAGGATAAGCATATGCTTCCGGAATGGCGAGAGTATTTTGAGGAAGTCCATTAACACCGAGTAACTGTAGGAAGATTTGCCTGAAGAGCAGCCGGCGACTGATGTCATTCGTTCAGTAGATGAGGTGCAAAAGCTGTAAATCGCTGAAACATAGCAGAGCACATGACACCGATGAAATCCGTCCTGTAATGCTTGCAGCGGTAGGCAAACAAGGCACGTTCTATGACGTTTTGGCACAGACCGTCGGTTCGTGTCAGTGTTTGATCCTGCCGCCGGTCTCACTGAATCTGTATAATTGGACAGTGGTCAACAGCATGAATTACGCCATTTAGTCCTTCATGATATATATCTATGGATAGCTCTAGTGAAGTACGATGCCGTTGTCCTTGTCAATTTTTTTATCCCAATTCCATTGTGACCGCTGTACGTCAGTACGTCACCGTTCAGTCTGCGGTCAAGTGTTTGAATTTATGTCATTCGCAGATGGTCATTTGCATCAATTGTTAGAGTTCATCCATCATATTGCCTACGAATGGAAAAATCTGGACGAGTACAGTGCGAAGCCGATGTCAAACTATGAATGACGATGATTTTAATTTAGTTTGATTCAATCATGGAGCTTGCGAGAGATCGTTAAGTCAGCGTGCTGTTATTTAATCAGGAGTCTGAATTAATATAATTGCGCGTGGTCATGTGTATCAGTTACTTAATCAAAAACCTCACGTTATGCATCGTTCGAAAGTTTTTTATGAGCAGAATATGAAACTATCGTCGTAATTATCAATTTCAAACTTGGTATCTTCGTCCGACTTCAATGTAACAGTTGCAGCAAGGTCATCAAATTGGCAGGTCAACGATAACATTAATAATCACGAGTTTAAATTTATGAAACTTTCAGAAGCATATTCTTTGTCCCTTCGTGACTAACTTTATCATGTATCATAACAAAAAAGCTTTCTTGCTCATAATGCGTCACTTTTATCAAAATATTAAGTTTCCAAGTTTCGTTTAATTATCGCACTATGCAGATGATACCAGGTCACTATAAATCAAAGCGTAGTCACCTAGTGGCAAGTTGAATCTATGTAATTGACTCATGGATAGAAGAATGAGATGCTTGATTCAACAGTCAATTATCCATCAGCAGATTTTCTAACTTGTAAATTTAGAAAATTTCGTTATTTTATTATTTCTTCATAGAAGTTGCGTCAGGTCAATAAGTCGGTAGACAGTCATTCATCCGAGAATTGAAATCTCTTACCTTGCAGAAACCTATTTTAATCCCGTGTTTGCTTTCTTTAATTGCTTGTCCATGGGTAGTTCTCTATGAATACACTACGAAACTTCGGTTAGATATTCGAATCCCACAGAATTTTCATATGATTATGCATTTCTGTGCAACCTCGTGATACCATACAGCAACTGGGATGCGGCCACTGCGATTTCACCACTGCTAACATTCAAAACATGTTACTCTTTACGGATATAAGACAAGCGACTCATAAAGTGTATTGAGGATGACAGCAGTACTGTCGAAACGCGATCGGGAAATATTATCGTAAGAGGGCTTCTGTTACGTTTTCGACATCAGGAGTAGCGACGGAACAAAGAGGTTTTAACATCATGAATTAAAAAATTATTTTAAGGCAAGGATTCACACAGTAGGTACGGCGGTTATTATGAAATTTGGTGAGCACCTTCATGATTGTTGGTGTGGAGGTAGCTGAACTTGTCACCAGAATTAAAAGGCGTGCCGAAGAAAGACGAAAGGAACCGTATTAGCGAGTGCACAAGTGGAATAGACTCTCACAAGGAGCTCAGGTTTCGCTTCAAAATCTTCCTGCTCTTAAGAAAATTGTCACAAGAAGAGGGAATTACATGAACGTTGTTCCATAAGCTCCGCTGAACTTATAAACACTGGTTCTGCAGAGTCGCATAAAAGATGCGAGCCGCAACTAGGAGCCTTCGAGCAGTTCCTGATCAGCGATAGTAAACCTGGATTTAAGCGCATACTGATAATTGGCACTCATGGAAACCTGCAAATCCTGAGGGAGACGGGAACGTGGTTAGCGGATTGACCATTTCGACCTGCATCGCTAATGTATATAGTGCTGGCGGAAATCTTTGACGGTGTCCATCTTGTAGCATATGCGTTTTTGCCAAACAAGCAGGATGCTACATACAACAGGGTCTATCAGCTGATAAAAGCAGCGAGGCCAGAACCTCACCCGGCTGCGATTGCTCGCGATTTCGAAATAGCAGGAAATGAAAAACGCGTTGCCATGCATTCAACGTCATGGTTACGCTGACGTTACCGATTATGTCAAGTAATTGATAGAGATGACCACCTGAAATTACATTCCCTCAAACCCAAGATCAAATAACAGCGCGTTGACTTAGCGACCTCGCACCGTCACCACGATGGAGTCATAAAATGAAAATCATTGATACTTATAGTCTGATAACGGCTGCGCATTGTATTCGCATAGAAATTCCACTGATAGTTAAAATGAGGAGCGAAGTCAAGTCACTGATATAGATGGCCATCTGCCAAAGACACATTCAAACTCATGATCGCGGACTGCACGTTGATATATTGACATCGCACGGTCATCACAATGAAAATGCAATAAGAAATTCCCCGTATACAACTGCATCCTAGTTCACTAAATAATACATGACATGATAGGCCGAACTGGTGCAGCTGACCACCGTGTAGTTAAACATTCAATGCACGGACCGCTGACACCAACCAGCGGTTTGCGTCAAAAAGGCCCATTCCGAAAAAGGCATCCTGTGGCATACACGAGTAAGTCAAATTGAAAAGAGAAGACACCAGTGGACTGGAGAACGGGAATTGTAGTCCGCTGTTTAAAAAGGCAGACAACAGGGTGTGCTCTGATTATCGGATCATTACCTTACCGAGCCCTCGGGGGAAAGTCTGCGCAAAGATGTCGGGGATAATTTACTTTGAGATATAAGAAGAACAGTGTGGCTGTCAGCCCAGGCAAAGCACACCTCTGCCCAGGTCTTCGCCTGACGCCAGATTTTTGAGAAATCGTTTAAGTTCGCTTATTCTGTTTACACATACTTTGTCGATCTGGCGAAAGCCTATGATGGGATCCCGCGCAAGTAACTATAGGCATGCCTGTGAACATATGGGATTGATGGTCAGTTGCTGCGGGCCATTCAATCACTACATGCTGATAGCAGGTTCTGGGTCAGAGTCGTCTTTGGTCTACACTCAGGCTGCGTTCAGTTCCCTCTCCTGGGCTTGTATTGCACATCAATAGAGGAGACATGTGCGACGAGTGTATTACAATAGGAGACGTATAAACGAAAAGTTTACTGTTTGCAAGTGACTTTATTTTGTCGGCATTATCTGAATCAGATCTCTAACGCTCTCTGGAAAGGATCGAAGCCGAGTGCTACGTGGCTGTCATCTGTGTTAAACGGAAAGCCTAGTGTTTTGCGTCGTCCTGTCCCTTGTGTTCTTCAGATAACCTGAGAAGCAGTGAAAGAGGTGGAGAAGTTCACGTGCCTCTGTGTTGTGTTTATTGGTGATAAAGAATGGGAGGAAGAGGTCGACCGGCGAAATGG